GAACGAATATACCTCTCATTCTGGCCCATGTTTGGCTGTATCCACAGTACATGAGCATCCCACATGGCCCTTCCCTTTGGACGGATACTAGTAGTCAGATATTTTTATCCTATTAGAATAACATATCTGGCATTTTAACTTCTCCTTGGATGCCTATTTCACTTTCTGTAGCACAAGAAAATTTGTCTCCCATTCATTTTATTATATATATATTTAAATTGTCATTGATAGGTGCCATCAAATCTACTCCAATACATAAAACAGAATGAAATACGACTGAGACCAGCACTCTCCTCAAAACTGTTGATATGTTGAATCCATTGCTGCAGTCACAGTCCCAATCCATCTTTTGGAGGGCCTTCTTTTTCATGTCCCTCTCCTTTACCAAGCTTGATGTCCTATTCCAGTCACCGGTTTCTCCTGATAACATGTTCAAAGGACCTGGAAGGAAGTTCCACCATCCTGGTTTCTAAGGAAAATTCTGGCTGTACTTCTTCCAAGATAGATGCATTTGTTCTTTTGGCAGTCCATGATACCTTCAATATTCTTCAACACCACACATGAAAGTCATTTATTCTCCTTTGGTCTTCCTTATTCAATATCCTACTTTCACATGAATATGAGACAATTGAAGATAAACTGGCATGGGAAGAGCTGCAAGGTGGCATCCAAGTAAGCAGCCCATACGGGGAACTTTGTGAGTTTGGTGTCCAGGAGGTCAAATGAGAGTATTCTGGTGAGTAGAAAGGTCCTCATGAAAACCTTGGGGGCCTTCTTTGTCCAGGAGGTGGCCCTTCCCCGAATCTGCTTTGTTCCAAGCCCCAGAGATCTGGGTCCATATACCAGGGATTTCCCGCTGTCTGTGTAATCCTTTGTGTACCTCAGTCACTGCACACCAGTGCCTGGCCCCGTGGCCTTGTCACTAACCCCATTCCTTCCTTCTTAAGACACTCAAGAAGATAGGAATGGAAGGCCAATTCCTAAAGTTAATACAAACTATCTACGAAAAGCTGACAACATCATAGTCAATGGAGAAAAGACTAAATCAATCCCACTGAAAAGGGGGACCAGACAAAGATGTCACTTGTCCCTACTTCTAATCAGTATCATACTGGAGGCCCTAGCTGACAACATAAGACAATGGAGGGACATCAAAGGTATCCAACTAGGAGAGGAGGTGGTGAAATTATCGTTATTTGCAGACAACATGATTCTGTACACTGAAAAATCCCCAAAGCTCCACAACCAGAGTACTGACAGCAATAGAGGAATATGGAAGAGTCGGAGGACACAAGATAAACAAAGAGAAGTTGATTGGTTTGCTATATACATTGGACAAGACCATCGAAGAGGAGATCAAGAAGGCAGTACCCTTCACAATAGCCAAGAACAAACTGAAATATCTAGGGTTGGATTTAACCAAAAAAACAAAAGACCTATACAAGGAAAACTACAAGACCCTACTACAGGAAACCAAGAGCAACCTCTACAAGTGGAGGAATATCCCATGCTCATGGATTGGAAGACTCAATGTAGAAAAGATGTCTATCCTACCCAGGGTACTTTATAAGTTTAATGCTATCCTGATTCAAATACTAACAACCTTCTTCAAATAATTGGAAAAACTGACCACTAATTTCATATGGAGAGGGAAGAAGCCCAGAATTAGCAGAGAAATCCTCAAGAAGAAGGGCAAAGTTAAAGGGCTTGCTTTACCTGACTTTAACAGCTACTACACAGCCACAGTGGTCAAAACAGTGTGGTACTGGCATAAGGACAGAAACTCAGACCAATGGAAAAGAACAGAAAACCGAGAAAAAAAACCATCAGCATATAGACAACTGATCTTCATCAAGAGCCCCAAAAGCATCAAGTGGGAGAGCGACACCCTATTTAACAAGTGGTGCTGGAAACAATGGAAATCTACATGTAGAAAAATGAAACAAGATGTCTACCTCACCCCTCACACAAGAACAAACTCAAAATGGATCATGGACCTAGGAGTAAAACCCCAAACCATCAGGACCATTAGCAAAGGAATTGGGACAAACCTAAGAACCTTGGTCCAGGGAATACAAAGGCTAACTGCAGTAGGGAAGGGTATACACAAGGGGAACCTGAAATCGACCAGTGGGATTTACTAAGGATAAAACACCTGTGCATGTCAAAAGACTACCAAGAGGGTAACAAGGCAACCCACAGATTGGGAAAGGGCTTATTACGAGACAGACAAAGGGCTTATTACGAGAATT